TGGGAATGAAATGGAGTGGAAGAGAAGGCGGACATCACTTGTGGATGGAATAGCGCATGCAGTCTCACACAACATGGGCTGACCATTTCAACCTCTTATTCGTTTCCGCAGAGCGACGACTGTCGAAGTGAAACAGGATTACCACACTCTTGTCAACTGATTGTGAATGATGAGGAAGTGGTACTTCCTCCACGTTGGCAGAATCGAGAGGTGACTCAGATGGTGGTGAGATGTGCAGTACTGAAATGGAGGCGGAGTGACCAGACGGGATGACGATAAGCAAACTTGTCTGTAAAAGGTCACTCTTTGTTATGCATTTTATGAAATGCTTGGACAAGTGGTTACTTGCAGGCTGGATAGTGGTCGCCGCGTACACTGGTCAGTTTTGAGCAATACAGGTGAATGAATTCCCTATCCAACAGCCACCCACACAAACCTCCGCCTATACGGCTATTTGCTACTTGGCTGCAACTGGATGATTCGCCTAACTCAAGATGTAATCCTGCCGATGAAGTCGAGTTAAGTTAGATCCAATCCGGATGATTGAAAAAAAATGGAATTAAACTGAATGGAATGCTTCTCAATGCCAGTGCATTATAATGAAATAGACGGGAATGGAGAGGAATGGAATGAAATAAAAGTGAAGGACCAATTGAATCAAATCGAAGCGAATGTCTTCTCACCGTGATGAAGAGTCACTGCATTACTTTCGGATGGCCTTAAAACAGCTCAAGACACTGCTGACATCAACGAATGGGCGTCAACAGGGAGCACCTTGACAACTTGGCTAGCATTTATTTCCAAGTTTCGTGCCATCCATTTTAAGCGTGCAGGCACGGACGAGAAACTAATCATGAAAAGTTGTTGCTTGGGTATGTTTGGTTGAGGCAAATACTTTGATTAGACAGCAGCTTTTTTATTTTTTACCTAGGATAGGTGCAACCGCTCCTTCACGCAGACTATTCACCGCCACTGTGGATACCTTTCAGATGTGGAGTCCATCTAGTTGCTTTATGGGATGAGGTCACAAGATTAAAGAGGTTACAGCAAATTCTGGGTTCCGGGAAAACCTAATTTGTCCCGCCCATGACAGAGGACTCATCTGAGATTCCTGAAGTCTTGCGCTCTTTCTAGCATGAATACAATTGGTGCGTCTCCGGAGATCATTGCTAAATACTGAATGACTTTCTACAACAGACATTTACCTTAAAACCATGTAAGAATGAGGATTATTTTGTAGTCTGATTATGACATTAATCGCTGTATTCTGCGACCTGTGATAAGCAGTTCTTTGAGGTCGATTATGGCGCATGGAAACACGGTCTTGACCCACTATTAGTTAGTGTGAAATCCTTGTCAAGATGTCGACCCACTTTAACAACCCTTCTGAAGAATTAACTATTCACGGAAGATGCCTTCCTTCTGTGAAACCTTTGTTGCGATCTCATGTCAATCTAATAAGGATGAGTGGTTCATTTGGTGGAATTGCTGAAATGGATGGGTGGCAGTAAATTAGCAGCCTCCGCGAAAAGCGACTGTCACAGGGAATGTGGCTGACGTAGACCGGCTAGCCTAAAGAAATCTCTCCCAATTGACATTCCGCCTATTACAGCCCACTTTACGAAGGACACGATATTCACTAACCTCACGAAAAACCGCATCGCTACCACTAATGAGTGGTTGCTATAATCGGTTATGACGACGCCAAATCAAAGAATATTCGTTTCCCATCTTTTAGTTCTACCTGTGCTGCCCAAACTGCTCGTCGCAGTGATGTATTGCTTTTAATAAGGACAAATCTTACTTAAAACTTCATCAAAGGTTAACTTTGACCCTGATAAATCGACTCTAAATGGAAGGAAAATCTATTTTTTTACTAATTGGATACTATGCCAAAAAATCACTAAAGGAAGGCATCTAAAATGGACGGCAGAGTCTACGGAAAGGCAGGATATGTCATAAAATTCACGAAGCAACACTACGTTGACCTTTTAAAAAAACCTCCAAAAACTTTGCGAATTCAGTAAATTCTCACCTTTCCATAGAAACCGAAGTAATTTAAATTGTCTTCATGTTCGTGGAGATAAAGCGGAAGCCAGTAGTGGAAACCTAGAACCCGTGCTCCTCTGCCCTCGCCCAGGAACACGTGTTCGAAGGCACTGGAACTCAGACGCCTGGAATCATTTCAACAAAAACGGTAGATGGTAATAAATGTGACAAAAGTAAGCAAAATGCTCTAAAAAAAGTCTACAAAAGAAAATCAAAAACATCAGGTTTTATTGGCAAGACTTAAAATGCCATGGATTCAAAAAGTCAATGGAAAAAAAGCAACATTTGTGTGTGACCTTCAAAGCGCCAATTAAATTGCTGGGCTCACTTGTTGCTTAAAAAGAACCAATCAGATTTTGCCTAGGTTTTGCTTCTTACAAAACCGATTTTGTGCAATTAAAATTTTAAGATTAGATTAATCAATAAATCCAAATATGAAGTTGATTTGCATTACAAAAAGACATCAGTAACATTGTCCAGAGGCGCACTTTTTGCGCTCAATACCGGTGAACCAGAGGTGACCGAGCATCTCCTTGAACTCCTCGTCAACCGAAGATGCGAGTTTCCTTTCCTCCAAATAACGCCGCACCTCTGCCATTACTGGCGTTGCTAGGATAGCATCGAGAAAGGCCATCTGACTCTGAACCTTCTCTGGGTTCGAGGTCTCAATTACGAGGATATTTGGCTCATAAAAACCCATCAACTTGATGAAGGCTAAAAAGAGGTGGAAAGAATCGAGTTGCACCCATTGAATACAATTGCATTAGCAAGTTCAGGTCGAAAAGGTAGGACGTGACGCTCGAAGTAAGAACCTAACAATCCTAACAAGACTCCCAATGTTTTCGTCGTGATTACAGTCCGTAACAGTGAATCTGACATTATAATTATTTTAAGTTCTATTAAATCACTTGAGAAGAAAGCAAATTTTTAGATTCTGTCAGAAATATTCTCATTCCCTTCTCAAAATGCGTCCAACGGGACGGTAGTTTTGTGGATTTCATAAAGCTCCTCAAAATTACCCTCACTAATTTGATACCAGCTAGCCAATACTGTCTGGATAAAGCCTTTTATTTCAATGGCCCCAAAAAGTGGTCTAGCAAAGAACTCTTATCTTTGCATACCATGTTCTCTTCCATCAAGAATGAAGGGAATTCGAGATAGCTAAATCATTCAGTAAGATCCTTCCCTGGTATTCATCAAATCTCGAGTTTGGTGGACCTCACTTTAAAGGTAGGGAAAGATTAACACTAAAAGTTTATGGCAAATGAGAGATGAAACCTCATGGAAGCCCCAATTCGCATAAGCATGATACTACTGTCACTGCTACTAATAGAACCACATAAGTAGTATGGAAGAAAAAGTTATTAAGTAAGCCTACATTAAAAATAATAACTTTGTACGTGAATAATTTCAGGCCATTTTACAGGAAGCAGACATGAGTTTATTTCACAGGACAGTTTATCTGCAGAAGTCAACCAAAACTCTCGTTCATCTTTATAAGAAATTGGATTGTTGGACCGACTGTTTATTACAATCAGGTAGCCGAACAGGTCCATTGAGTTTTCGGCCTAGCTGGTGCTGCAGTGACGGAAGGTAATGTGACTGGAATTGTGTCTGCTTTGCAATTCTAAAGGTGCCGAAGTCTCTCCCAAAACTTATTTCACAGCATTTGAAGGATGTGTAGTAACAGGACGTATCACCCAGAAACGGTCTGAATCAGCAACTTGGCGATAAAGAAAAAACTTTAAGGAACAGCATTTGTTTTTAATTAGGGAGAACCAAACGTCGTTAATGAAATTTGAGAACAACGTTATGAGTCCAGCTTTCAGTAATGTTCAGCATGAGTGATTAAATAAGTCCATTATATCTACATCAATTGGGTGGCAAGAGTCGTGGAAGCTACAGCAAATGAGTAGTGCTACTCGAATGGCATTAACAACGGGTCACAGACTAAAAACTTGGAGGATGGCCAGCTTGTCCTTTCTAGCACTCCGTTTGGTTGTCTATTAGGTGATGTGTAAATATGATGCATCTTTGAATTCCAACCTCGAATGATCTACTCACTATTCCGCACCTCATCTCATCTCTAGAAATTTGAGCCTGCTTTGCGTGTGGTTCACTGCAGGCGGAGTTGGTCAGTCACTGATGTTTGCCCACGTGATACGGCTCAAGGGATTACCAGGAAAAAATTCTTCTGAGGCAGAGAGGACTAGTGAGATAGTGAAAGGCTAGACCCTTCCTCATGCCCCTTTTAATAAAACTCATCCATGAGTGGGTCCCTACCTTAAGATGGGGGAAAATACCGCCTCATCCTCATTTACATCTCCCACATTCTCCAGATATGAAATTGTCCGCTGGTTAGGGAACCTAAATATGAACTTGGTAGTGGAAAGAGTAAATAACATGTGTCAAAACGTCAGTAAACTAACGTTGAAATGAGAGTGCTGTCAGCTGGCTATCGAGGATTTTGACTGATGAATCCAAAGTCAAAAAATATTTAATTCGAGGTCGGACAAATCGTACTTAGCGGGCTTATTGTCATCACCAAGTAAAAGGGAACTGGCTTTCAGATCTGATGAAGAAGGGAAGCTGATAGGCTGGTATATATTTCTCCTAAATCAAAAGTCCATTTTTCTCCCTGCCTCCCAATTCTACTTCCAAAGAAGCAGATGCTGTTTTCTGAATGGCAAATCGGTCGATAAAACTGACAACTCGAGTTAGGAAAGGAAAGGAGACACCATGACATCATCATTCACCTCAGTGATGTCTTCATTGACATATCAGCTTCTCCGATGGCAAGCGATAGCCACAAGCTGCTGCACTATTAAAGAGGCCCAAAAGTCATTTGAACAATTCACTAAGTGCTTGGTTTGAAAAGGAGATGAAACAAAGGAATTTCTGGTCAACATTAGTTCATTTAACCTTCATTAACCAAGCTACGAGTCAACTTAGTGAATACGACAGTAGAACCGGATTCACATTCTTTAAATAAACGAATATTAGCGTCTACCTAACTGTAACCTTCCCGTTTCAACTTCTTTAGTAAATAGAAAGAAGGAAATTACCCCGAAATGTAGGCGTATTGTACAACCGAGTTCCATTGACAAAGGTAAACAGCGGCTGAGGCGCTTTGTCTTCCAATGGATTTGATACAAATTCTTAAAAAAGAATTATTCTGCATGAATAAGTGCATAGACATGAATGATCGTAGCGTATTGCCATTAAAATAGACTTGAGGGTGTAAATTTGGACTTCTAACTAGTTGGAAGATCATATTTCTTTAAAAAATGCCATATGGCACATTTATTTAGTCATCAAAACTTTATAACTGTCAATTATGACAGATTGGACGCAAAGAACTACTGGTCCAGTAGCAGATTGGGGATTTCAACTGATGCAACTCATAAAAGTCATTTGTAATTACCAAAAGTCGACAGTTCATTTATCCACCTCTCTAAATCCGGTTTAAGCCGGTAGCAATGCGACCAACTTTCCCAACTAAATTAAAGTGGAGAAAAGGTAACGCACTTTGTAGATTCAGGACCAAGTCCCTGTTAATTTCAAACCGATTCGCATCCAGCTCCCATAACTTATTAACCAGCTTCTCGAAGTCAAGACTCCTGCAGAATAATAAAGCTATTAGTCGGGCCTTGTCTACGCTTATGGATGCTTGTGTGGACAGTAATGTTTGGCTATAGTTCGAGTACTGAATCACAAATGCTTACCTCACCTTTGTCGAAACATGGGAATAAACTAGAAAGTCGGATTATAAAGATATCGAAGTAGTCTCATTAATCCTAACAAATATAGTGAGGTCATTTTTGCACATCAGAAACATAGGGAGACGAATTGCAGATATAATGGCGAAACTTGCTTTCCACGATTTTTTCGAGACTCCACGAGAAGCATAAGGCCAAACACCACCGCTATCCACAGAAACACTTTACTTCGTCCGATACACATGATAGCTCAACCGGAGCTGATCAATGGGCGGACTAAGGGGTTAACAAAGCGATTGCTAAAGCGGTCTCAGCGACTCCTACAGCTACTTGATTAATCAATGTTTTGATTGGTGAAACGTCCTCCAACCACTGCACTAGTTGACGCCAGACCGCCACTCATTGGCCACGCAGGCTAGCTAAAGGCCAAAACAATGGCAGACCAACCACAATCCCAACTACTCCAGAAGTCGGATTTTAGAAATTAAGAAGTGCAACGACCTTACATATTTGCCTCCAAAATTTGGGCTCTGGATATTTTCAACCGAAACAGTACAATTTTGAATAACGCCTTGTCAGTTCTAACCCATTGTGTGAAAACTTATCACAATAAACGAAAACAGAAAAATAACCATCTCAACAACAAGAAAATAAAATGAATATGGCGTTGATTTGACACGATGAAATAGAGCTTTACAAGATGAACCGAATGCCGGCGCAATCAAGTGGCATCGGTGCGAAGAATACGATAGAAGTGACCACCAGCATCAGTGCGGGTCAACATAGCCTCCTGTTCAAAGCGTTCCGCTGCCCTCGATGCAAGAACCCCAAGTAATGGTCGAAGCGGCACCTCAAGGGAAGTCAGCGCTCCTGAAATAAGCAGAAATAATACTTTCTCAAATCAAAAAGATAGTGTTTTATATCAGCCTAACAACACTGCAAAACAGTGGGCCAGCTGACCATTGTGAGACTATACATAAAAACTAACGGACTCATAAGCATCTGTTAAATAGTCTACATATATTCCTTTAAGAACAAGACAAACTGCTCTAAATGGAAAACCGCCCCTGACTACTAAAAGATATATGGGAGCTGGTAATGAAGAAAGCAGACCAAGATCGCAAGCGTTCGTTCCCACGGCGGTTAGGTAAACTGGAGGGGTTGATTCATTGGGAGCGTAGACAAACTGACATATCTAAAGTTTTAAAACAAAAAAACGTGCCTAGCAGATGGCAAGCTGTCCACTACCTTCTTAGACAGACCCTATTACCACCGACCAAAGTTAACTTGAATTCTTTCAATAAGTAAGTACTTATTGTCCACTATAAGCAATGAATGACTGAAACCATTTATATAGGATAAAATTCGGCAAGAGAATCAAATTACACCTTCTCCATAAAAAACAACACTTTCTTGCCTTCAAATGCGTGAGGCTTTAAACTAAGACAAACTCACTGTCATATTTTGGTATTTTGTTATCATATGTTGAACCTCACCAAAGCCAAGTTTAGGAAGCTGTTGAACTGATGCGATGAAGGATGTAACCACATAAGTCATAAAAGCTTGTTCGGGAGCATCCTCAATAGAGACTAAAGAGGAAATAGGTACATGCTAAGTAATCACCTCCAACCATTCGAGCCCCATCCTTGTCAGAAACGTAAATGCCGACGATTCCGTCAACTCTATGTTTAAATAGGATTCTATTTACGCATTACGGTGAAAGGTAGCCGCGAAGATATTCGTTAATTGACTAGAGATCATTAAGTAAGGAATATACCAAACCCCCTGACGCATTATGACTCCCCAGGTTGGCACGTGCAAACTGGCTGACATGGCACATATCACCTTGTATAAGTCTTCGAGAAGTTTCGGTAAAGTAGCGTATTGAATCACAATCAGTGGTTACTCCTAAAGCCGAAAAGATTAGCGATTATGTGACAAGAATATAAAATTTGCCACTATGCAAGAAATCAAATGCTTTTTATTATAAAACTGCTTGCATTAAGAGCAAAAACTCAAGAATATAAACATGCACTAAATAACCATGCTAAACTTCCTATGTACGCGATTAATTTCTCTAGTCCATTTTTAAAGTAAGGTATACAGTGATAGTTAAACAAGAGCAACTTTACACTATTCAGTCAAAAAATCAGTGGCAAATAGCGCTGAAACTTGGGTTAGGAGCAATATGTGAAGCAGGAAGTGCACCTGGACAAAAGTTGGTTCCTACTAAAATGGGCAACTTATTAAGTATCTTTGCTTGCAAGTTACACCGAACAGTCTTTACAGGAAAAATGAATTAGTTACGTATAAGCGTTTACATTGGTGCTGGGTAATCCTTTTCAGTTTTTTTGCTCAATGTTATGATTTTATTGCTTAAGTGCATCCTTCAAGGAAGAAGCAGACAGTCGCCTCAAATCTCGTGATGGAGGAGTGGTCATTATCTCTCAAACCAAAGAAGACCCGCGCATCCAGGGCTACCTATACTTGTATCTATCTCCTTTGGCGCCATATATAATAAATTTGTCCAAATTTAAACAGTCTCTTTGTTCTAATGGTATGAAGGCCAGGAGAGAGTAGATGAATGAGCACCATGCTACACCAAGACTACATGGGCACAAAAACTTTCCTTTGGTTCAGTTGGTTATCAGCCCATGATTTTCTAGGATTGTTGGTGTAATACGATGGTGGTTTATCCCTCGGTTCCGGTGAGGCGCCACTTTTGTGCTTCGAATTAGCCCCCTTGTACCTCGCTGGGTGGGCTGGCCTTTTGGGCCATGCCAATAGCCCAGACACCTTCTCCGTGCCGAATACATATATTCTGCCCGAGTATTGTGTCTTCTTTCGTCTTAGGGGAGTCTCGGGACGCTACATTGGTACGTTATTGTGGAGCGAGACTCCTCGGTCTCCGCTTCCCGATTCCTAGCGTTCCTAGACAAGCCCGGTTGGTTTACTTTGGACATCTTTATTAAAGACGACAAGATGTATAGGGAAAATACAATATTCAAGAAGGAGGGGAGCCGCAGTCACTAGGTAAGGGAGAGGGCCATCCAGTTACCAGGTTCGAATTTCCTGCTTGCCTCCTCCCTGAAAGGCACATTAAAACAACATAAGTATTACATTATGACAGGTGTGCAAACTATGTTGGATATTTGCTTAACGGCCGTTTTTGTTAAAGAGCCTTATTTAAGTAAGCCCTAACTGAACTGGCTAGTTAGCATAAGAAGTTGCACTGAGCATTTGCTTGAAAATGTGACTATACAGCGTTGTTTTTTACGAGGCCTTCAACATTGATTCTATTTTTATTCATAATCTACAACAAATTATTTTGTCCTTTCTTTTAATTGTTGTTATAATGATGGGCAGTCTGACAATAGAAATTATTGGTAATGTCTTCTTTAAGTGAATTTTAGTAGGAATGGAGAGTAAGACTACAATTAGCCACTTATTTGCTATTTGTTTTAGTCGCCACTTTATCACTTCTAATAACGGTGTGCAGCACGTTGTGTATAGCTGCTTTTCATAATGGGTGAAGAAGTACATTATCGTGGAACGCTTGACGGACATAGTGATTGGGTTACCCAACTTGCAACAAATGCTCAACATCCCGAACTTCTGCTTTCGTCATCCCGAGGTATGTTTATTTGTTTGCGTTTATTCGTAGATAAAACCCTAATAATATGGGAGCTTCAGGGCCAGCAGGGTAAATTTGGTGTTGCCAAACATGCTCTTCGCGGTCACAACCACTTTGTCAGTGATGTTGTCATGTCATCTGACGGTCAATTTGCCATTTCTGGCTCCTGGGACAAGACCCTTCGTTTGTGGAATTTGACCACTGGCCAAACTGCCACGCGCTTCACCGGCCATAATGGAGACGTTCTCAGCGTCGCTTTCAGCGCTGACAACCGTCAGATCGTTTCTGGTTCCCGCGATAGAACTGCCAAACTTTGGAATACCCTCGGTGTGTGCAAATACACCTTCGACAATGAAGGCCATACTGATTGGGTTTCTTGTGTCCGTTTCTCTCCCAATATGGAAACTCCACTCATAGTTAGCTGTGGTTGGGATAAAGTGGTTAAGGTGGGGAAGTTGTCTTTTACCTGACTTCATGACTTGCTGTTTAGGTGTGGAATCAGCGCAACTGCAAGCTGAAGACTGACCATTTTGGACATACTGGTTACCTTAACAATGTCACTATCTCTCCCGATGGTACCCTCTGCGCTAGCGGTGGAAAGGATGAACAGGCGATGCTGTGGGATCTGGCTGCCAGCAAATACCTATACACCCTCCCCGGTGGGGCTGAGATTAACGCCCTCTGCTTCTCCCCCACTCGCTACTGGCTTTGTGCTGCTGCCGGCCCCTCTATTAAGATCTGGAATTTGGAGGACAAGGTATTGGTGGAGGATCTCCGCGTAGAACCCGCCATCAACACGGAGTCAAAGAAGAAACCCAAGCTTCCTGTCTGCACATGCCTCGCATGGTCAGCTGACGGATCTACCCTCTTTGCTGGCTACACTGATAATCGTATCCACGTTTGGCAATTTATGCACACTGCTGAATAAGCTTTTGAGTAAAGTGAATGGATAGTACGGTGCCTTTTTCTCATTTCAGTTCTGCTTGATTTGGTGTAGATTTTGATGAACGTTTCCACAAAGCTACTGATTTTGTTGCATTAAGTTAATGTTGTTTTCTACGTCTTGGTTCCTGTGATCTTGTTATTTGTTCCATAGGTAGTCGTGTTCAAGTTTCATGTCTTCATCCCTTTGTGTCGACTTACTTCCGGTGGAGTTACCAGCAATGTCAGATTTATTAATGTGTTGGTGTCTGGGGCGGTGACGAGCTCCGAATCCAGCTCCATGTCTTGAACCTATTTTGACACTGGAGATGTGTATGTGTCTGTGGCTTGTCGCAATTGTGGCGCTAGCCGGTTCCACGCGTGCGGCATTTCAATTATCTACGTACCTTTGTGTGGTTGAAGTAGCCCATTGGAATTTCCTCTTTTAGTTCATATGCCTACACTGGGTGGTTTGTGTAGTAGCTTGAGTTCCGTGAACGCAAGCACTACTGGTAATAGTTTCTTGTTGGATGGCGTGTCCGCCTAATAAGTCGAGGGTTTTGTGTTCTAGTTGGACTTGCTAATTTAGAATTTCTGGTTGAGGGCATCGTGTCTTCATCCGATTGAGTGAGGCTGGTGACATTCACAATATCGCGTTTCTTTTGGGGCGTAATGCACTAGACTTGGGATTGGTTTTCAATCCCCATGGAACTGCTGGGAATGTCAAATTGATTTTACTGGGAAGCTAATGCTTAAGGTGGCGACGATATTTTTTAGTCGCTACTGCATTCCTAATGGCCGGTGAAACTCCTCTAATTCCCTCGAAATTCACCGAGCTTTTACGTTTTTACGCTCCGATTCTTTAATTTGTGCAATGCTTCATGTGTTTAGGTGTCCATGTGGATCGAGATTGCTACACGGTAGGTAATTTGCTGTCTGTTGTCAGCGAAATTGCTGCTACACCATATCGACTTGCTAGTGATTAAGGCCGATGCGTATTCAGTAATGAAGATGATGGAAGTTGGGTCAACCTCTCAATGTGTTGAGATTCCTGCATCCGCACTGGGTGCGCATAATTACGCTTATGTGGTGCAGGGTGTCAGATGTGTCGAAGTGGGATATTTGGTTGCCATTGCTGCCTACCAATTCCTCCATTATTGCTAAAAGGCGATATTTTCGCCATTCCGAGGTTCATGTGAAATGATCCGTATTTCTTCCTCGTTAAATCGACGCGGGGAAAGCAGATAGATTTCAGTTTACTCTATATGACTTAGAACGTTGTTTCTGTGACCGGGCAGCGGGGTGTTGTTTCAGCCTTTCGATTAAACTGGATTTCGTTTAATGAGGGGAGGAATAAAGCATTCCGTGTGGCTTGCTTACCCTGCCGCGGTAATTTTTTTCTTTGGATGTAAGTTCACTGCAGCCTCACCTATGTCGTTCGCGTGAATATGCTTGGGCATGGGTCTACTGTCTGAGGCCTTCCTGAAGACATCCTAGAATTGCGTGGTCATGGGTAAATCATTTCGCTTTCCACTGCTTTTTTCAATGAAGGCGGGTAGGAAAAGTGCACCAAACTAGTCCCACGAAATGGCAACCAAAGCCTTATCCATCCATCCATCCATCCATCCATCCATCCATCCATCCATCCATCCATCCATCCATCCATCCATCCATCCATCCATCCATCCATCCATCCACTCCATCCACTCC